ACTACTACTACTACTGCTACTACCACTACTGCTACAACTACGAGGGCAACTACCACGACTACAACTACTGCTACTAGTAGTATTAGTACCATGGCGACGACTACTACGACGACGACTACTACTACGACGACTACTACTACTACTACTACTACTATTACTACTACTACTACTACCACTACTACTACTACTACTACTACTACTACGACGACGACTACTACTACTACTACTACTACTACTACCGCTACGACTATTACTACTACTACTACGACGACGACGACGACGACGACGACTACTACTACTACTGCTACTGCTACTGCTACTACTGCTACTACGACTACTACTACTACTACTACTACTACTACTACTACTACTATCACAACTACGACGGTGCTGCGACTACAACATCAACTACTGACACTAATAAGCCCCTCACCATATTGATGCGACTACTGCTTCAGGCCCTCACCATAACATGTGTTGGGCTCTCGTTTTGAATCCGCAACGCCCCGCGTCTTCTCCCGCTTCCCCCTCCCTCCCTCCCGCCTTGGCTCTCCGCGCGCACACATCGGCACAGCTCTCACGCGCTTCGTGGCCCCATACTCTGCAGACGGCCTCGGCTGCAAGGGCTCGCATGCGTGACCACGTCCGTTCCTGTACACCTCTCACACGCTTCGTGGCCCCATTGAATCTCCACCGGATGCCCAAGTCCAAATGCGAAGCTCGCATGCCTGATCACGCCCACTGGCACGCCTCTCACACGCTTCGTTGCCCAATCGGAGCTTCGCGTAAGGCCCACTGAGGCCCATCCCCCGACGTGTTCCACTCCCCCCAAGAAGCGCCCCAACACTAAAACGAAACAAGCCGACAAAGGCGCGGGCGCGGCGTGGGGCAAATCCACCAAGTAGGTCCCTCCATGCCGGGCGCGAAATACGGGTGATGCGAACAATGGGATCCAAGGCGCTTCGTGGCCTGGCCCAGAACATGGCGTACCAGGACAGCGCGAGGCGTAGCGCAACACTGCGCTGCGATACAAGAGCAGCGCACGACACCTTTGCCCAACACGCCACAACGGCACACATCACAGCTAACACAATCGTTGCAATCCACAGCGTTGCGCGTAATGGCGTCAACCAACGGGCTGGACCATATTCCCGCATGCAAATGCGTCGCGACGAAAATCATCGCAGGGCATAGCCGGGCTGGAAGCGCGGTTGGGGAAGGGGCGCGCCCGAATTGCCCGTTCCCGAGAAAGTTGGATGCTCGGGGACCGGGTAAACTGCCACGCAGGAGAAGCGCCACAAACATTGCCACAACAACTTGTTACCAAACAACAAACCGCGCGCAACAAAACATGCCACACAACTGTGCGACAAAAACCGGCCACTAAAACTGCCACACAACTGCGCCGCAAAATTGCGCCGCGAATGTTGCGACAACACTTTGTCCACAAAATTGCCGCGCAACTGCGCCGCCAAAAACCGAGCGGTCAAGCATGGCAGCGGAATGTGCAAACAACTCACTAAACAACACAAGCAAAAATACCTCGACCTTCGCTGCGTACGTGCGCGCACAGGGATAACCACCTTGCGGTCCTTTTTGTGGAGCTTTTTGGGGCGCTTTGTGCGGAGACGACTGTTTGGTTTTTGCCCCCTTTTTGGTGCACGATTGCGGGCGTTAGCTGGGTTGCTTCTCCAGCATTGTGTTGTCAACTCGTTAGGGGGTCTTTTTTGGGGGATGCTAATGCCTGCGCTGGCGACTCCAAGGGCGCAGACGGGCCAATGGCCCAACTTAAACCACATGTCATCGATGTCTCGCGCTGCCGGATCCGCTTGGAATGGCGTGACCAGGCCGTTGCCCAATCCACAAGCTCAATTCTCTGCTTGGGCGTTGCACGCCGCTCTGTACAAAACAAAAAGGCAGAATCGCCGGTCGACGACTCCCACAATGAACGAGCACGCCACGCAACGCCGGGCGCAAGGCTTGTGTTCGCCATCTTCCGCCTTTTTTTTGTGTCTCCAACCCCCCCTGTTACCGGGCTTCCAAACCGGCCGCGCCCCGCCCCCGAGCATCCGACCCATGCCCCGGAGGCCCCAAACATATCGGGGGGGGGGCCTCCAGCCCATGCCGCGGACATGCGCGGCCCCAACTACTCGGAAACCTGCCCCACGTGTCCCGCTCCATCTCTCTGGCATGCTCGTGGGCGCATTCGTACGTATTTCCGTTTTGAACTGCTGGTGGGCGTGCTTTTTGGCATACTTGTTAAAATGCTATCGCGCCGCCGCCATACTGACCTGGCATTGATCTTTGCGTTTGTAGGGCCAGCCTTGCATGGCTTCGTCACTCAATTCGGTCACAAACCATCTTTCAGCAAAAAGAATGTTTAAAAAAGGGGGGACAAATTGCCCATAGTTTTCACAAAAGTGTAGCGCGCAAGCAGAAAACAAAAGGAAGGCGGGGCAAACAGGGCAGCGGGGTACGTCCCCGCGACCTCTCTGGCGCTCCGCGGGCAGATTCCTGCGCAACCCCCCCTGGCGCCACGCCACGCATGCCACGCCCTGCGACCCTGGCGTGGATAGAGACTGCACTCAAGGACCGCCTCCTGCGCACCCTCGCTGTGCCGCGAAAGTGCCACACCTGACGCGCCCTGCGACCTGGAGTGGATCGAGGCCGCGCTCAGGGACCATCCCGTGCGCGCCCTCACCGGTGCCGAGACAACGGCGAGCCCGCCCCGCCCTGCGACCCTGGCGTGGACAGAAGCCGCACTCGGGGGACCTTCCCTTGCGCAGCGCCTCTGGCACCGCGAGGGCCCTGGATGGGGACTCCGAGGGGACGCCCGGGCCGCGGGCAGCGTTCGCGTGCGGCCGAGAGGGGGGTGATGACCCGAAGGAGAAGAATTGCACAAGCGTAAGTCCTCCGAGCTCGGCGCCTTGGGGTCGGCGACGGGGCCCCCCTGGAGGTGCCTCCAGCGCCGCGCCGCCGCGCCCGGGCCGCCGCGTGCGCGGCGGCCCGGGCGCAGCCTCAGCGGGACGGCGCGCCGCCCGCGGAGAGCAGGGTGGCAACGCTTCGGTGGCGGAGGCCGCCGCGCCCGCGGCGAGCCCTGCGGAGCTGGCCGCACTGGACGCGGCAACCCGAACGCGGGATCGAGCCTGGAAAGCCGCACGCGCAGGCCGCGCGGGCGGAAGGCACGCGCGGCGGCGCTGGGCCCCATCCGGGGCCCCCGGGGCCCCCGACGAGCCTCCACGGCCCGGGAGTCCACACGCGGGGGGGCCTGTGTGGGCCCCTCCCTGGACGGTCAAAGGCAGCACGAACACGCCCTACTGGAGGAACGCGGGGATTCCTTGGGTTGGCGACGGGGCGGCGCCAGAGTCGCCGCCAGGGGTTAAATAGGAGGCTGTTTTTCTCGAGCCTCAAGCAAACTCACTTGCATGGCATTTCTCCGCCCGATCCGCTCCTCCGCCGCGTTTTCGAGCACCGCTGGGCAGAGACGGCGTGCAAATGAGTCCCGACTTGCGTGAAGTTGAGATTTCTGTTCGGGCCTCGCCACGCCCTCCATTCAACAAGCTAGCCAGAATCTAAAGAAACACGGCCTCAAGCAACTGCTGGGAGGTCCTCGTAAGAACGGTTGAGGACCACCAGGCCTGCTGAATGGGCCACTGAGCCAGATTAGACTCAGTCAGGCCTAGACTTGAGCCAGATCAGGCGAGATTAAGCGGGATTGCGCGAAAATGCGCGGGGAAATGCTGGATTTGGCCAGTTTCCTCGACCACGAAAAAGCGCAAACGCCGGTGCGGAATCCAGTCTCCCAGGAGCTGCCGCTTCACCAGGGTGAGCGGGGAGCCAGGCCCGTCCCAGGCATCCGACGTCGTGGCTTTGTTACAGCGTGCCCCCCCCGCAGATCTGGACTCCTCATCCCTCCTCCTCCTCCTCATTCCTCCTCCTCCTCCTCCTCCTCCTACTCCTGCCTCCTCCTCCTCCTCATTCCTCCTCCTCCTCCTTTCCTTCTCATCATTCCTCCTCCTCCTCCCCCTTCTCCTCGTCCTCCCCCCTCCTTTTCCGCGGAACCGGCTGTTCACCCCGCGTGTTTTTGTTGGCGACGGCCCCGTTGGGCCCGGTGGGGGCCGCCAGAGACCGAGGAGACTGCCCCCAAATAGCCGCCCGCCTGCCTGGCTGCCAGGACGCGAGAAAAGGCTGCGGGCCACCGCCCCAGGGAGGAGGAGGAGGAGGAGGAGGAGGAGGAGGAGGAGGAGGAGGAGGTGGAGGAGGAGGAGGAGGAGGGGGAGGAGAAGGATGAGGAGGAGGAGGATGAGGAGGAGGAGGAGGAGGAGGAGGAGGGGGAGGGGGAGGGGGAGGGGGAGGAGGGGGAGGAGGGGGAGGAGGGGGAGGAGGCCTGCGAACGTTGCTGTCTACAGCCGCCCGTAGAGTGGGCGCTGATGCTGAATCTAACACCCCAGCGAATTGCATTCTGAAGCATTCGTCCGACCAGGCGGCCCCACACCGCCCCCCAGAGGGCCCCGAAAGCCGTCCGAAGAGACACCAAGAAGCATCCCCGGGGACCCTGACCCACGTCAGCGTCGTCGTCGTCTTTGACACCGCCGCCGTTGCCGTCGAAGTCCCCTTCGGGGTCGGCGACACCGGCCCGTACAGTAGAAACTCGACCACAAGAAACCTTCCATAAGGAACCCAACACCGAGACCCCGGGGCGTCTCTTGGTTTTTGGTGTGGGAGCGTCACATTTTTTCAAGGCAAAACCATCGATGCCCAAGAAACCAAGGCACCCTCGAGGCAAGCAGGGTGTTTCTTGGCATGGGCCTCCACTGTGTAGCAAGGATGCGCGTTAAGGATGCAAGGGCCATGGAAAACCATGTTGGCGTTTTCCGGGCAGGGCTTGCCAGCGGAAGTCGCCAGGGATGAAAGGGGCGAGGCTGCACGGGTAACCTTTGGAAAACTCCCTCATCCTTGCTATGCGGGTTGACTGTGTGCTTGACCATCCCCCCCTTGGCCCCTCCCCGAGCATCATCTTCGTGCCCACGAAGGCCAGCACGACGGCCAAGCCTCCCGCGCCCCCCAGGCCACCGACATCATGACCCTTTCTCACGAGGCCGACCCGCAGGAGCACCGGCCCATGCCCCACGACCGGCTTTTCAGCATCCCGAATCGTTCTTGCTCACGGCCCCGACGCCCAACAGAAGGGCCCCCAGCGGCCGAACGGAGCGACAAAAACCGCCCGTCGCTGTCTCCTCACGACTCGAGGGCCCCGAGGCCCAGCATAAGGGAGGGCCCCCAGAGGCCGACCACAGCGAAGAAGACCGCCAGTCGTCTCTTCTCTTCACTCCAGGGGGCCTGGGCGCCTCTGGCGCGCGTCTGCGACGACGAGGGGGCCCCAGGAGAGGCGCAGACCTCGGCAGCGGTGTCGGGAGAGGTCGAGCTGGCGCAAACATCGACAGGCCAACAGGCCTCTGCGAAGAGACAGGGATCCGAGCCGGAATCCGAGGTCGAGTGGGGATCTGAAGCCATCTATCTCGCAGTCGTATCGAAGGAGCCGACTTTGAGCCTCTCGCGCGCTCGCCAGGGCCTCGGAGCGCCCTCTTTCCTTTCTCCTCCAGGCGCTCCCCTCCCTGTTCCCTTCTGCCTCCTCCCGACGACGCCAGCCTCCCGCCCAGGGACATTCACAAATACATAAACACAACTCCCAAGAGGCCCCATATTCCCCCGGCTCTTCTCGAGTGCTCTCCCTGCAGTCGACCAGCACCACAAGGATGCGCGAGAAGGACGCAAAGGGCCTGACAAGGCCGTTTCGAAACTGTTCGAGCGGGGCGCGGGCAACGAAAGTGGCCACGGATGGGCCGAGTGGCCGAGGGGCCACGGCCAGCTGCGGCCTGTGGGGCGCCCGACGCGGCCCTGAGCGAGGAGGAGGAGGGGGGGAGGAGGAGGAGGAGGAGGAGGAGGAGGAGGAGGAGGAGGAGGAGGAGGAGGAGGAGGAGGAGGAGGAGGAGGAGGATAAGAAGAAGGAGGAGGACCATCGCACGGATTCGGAAAAAGGGGTTCGACTTCTCTCAGGGCGACTCGAGCGCCTGGGCTGCCTGGGCGGCAACCGCATCTATCGGGATCGGAGGCTTGAAGACAATGGGGCTCGTCTTAGAAGCCCTTGGGTGTCTCCCTTCTGCAAGGCGCGCGTAGGCGCCTTCCGAAAAGTTAGAAGTGAATCGCTTGAGACAACCCTTCTGGAGGCTCCGAAGGGTACACTCTGAATAACTGCAACACGATTGACATGCAACAGTGGAACTCTCATCTTCAATTCTGTCGAAAACTAAAAACTTGTGCCCATTCGGTTGCTCTGTTAGCTTGGACAGACGAGCTGCATTGCCTGGGCACGACTCCTTGGCTCTGGAAAGTTTGACTTTGTCTGACGTGCATCGCGAGTTGCAGAGACAGCAGAACCAACGCGTTTTCTGCCACATCCACACATGCCCGACACGGGCGCGTGCGCGGGCAACACGGTGGGGACGGGGACGGGGAGGGGCCGCCGCAGCTCCAGGGCCCGAGAAAGACCACCCAAAGGTCGCTCCGCTTTGCCACGCTTCCGCGATCGAGCGAGCACCTACAAGCGGGTTGGTTGCCTTCACTGGGCCTTCGAGGCCTCTCCCCCCCAACCCCCGGGGCAACTGAGGGCCACAGCGAAATAGTCTTCGGCACGTGCCGAAGGAAACGTTTGATTCTCTTGTCGAGCTGCTGCTGGGCATCTCTCTCTCTATCTCTCTTTCTCTCTCTCTCTCTCTCTCCCTCTCTCTCTCTCACTCTCTCTCTTTCTCTCTTTCTCTCTCTTTCCGAGGGCTGGGGGAGGCGCGAAGCAGCTAATTTGGCGATTCTGTCAGCCGCGTCGTTTCCCGATGGGTGCGGCCACTCTTCAGAGTAGCGGTCCAGGGAATATAAATCTTGATGCACTTTAACTCTGGCAACTTCAGAACTCCCTGCACAGCTGGCTTCTCCTAGCCTGGACATAGCGCCAAGCCCGTCGTACATGTTCTTCCCGCTAGCGGGCAGACCCGAATTGTGGAAGCTTACCACTCCTTTGAAATCATAATGAATATGAATCGCTCCTCTGAACTGGCTGGAGGCTAAATACGCTAGAAACTCAGCCGCAGGAGACGCGGGCGGAAGGGCGCTGCCTACTGGCTCACATAGGTAGGCCTCTACCTCCCTGTGGGCGCCTCATCTAACAGTGGCCCATCCTGGGGCCTGTTACCGCTGGTGGCCGCCCTTGGCCACGCTACCGTCGACGTAAACCTCGCTGACACAGGTTTCTGAAGGCGAAAGGCCGTTTCGGGACCAAAACTGGGCCTCAGCCACGCCAAGACCGATGGGCCCCAGGACCTTAAAGGGCGGAGGCTCGGGAAAACCAGCACACATAGTAAAGGCCTGGGGGTCTCTCAGGGCTTCGAGATCACCTTGAGCCAGGTCCTCTTCCCGAAGACCTGCACAACTGGGGCGCTCCAGGAGCCTGTGGAATATATGGTCAGATGGGGCCCCACATGTGCAGGTAGGGCCCGCGTCGTAGCCCGCGTGATTGAGCCTACATTTGGTCAAATCGATTGGGCCAAGTACGAAGCGAGGAGGCTTCGATCTTGTTTACTAACTCGTTTATCAGCACGAGCTGCTTTAGCGCGAGACATATCAACTGCAAAACCTCAAATATTTATTGCCGCGGTCTCGGCCTGCTGCTCCTGCCGCGACTCCTCGAGCATCTGGCGATTGAGAGCAGGCGAGCTGGCCGTGAGCGGGTAGACCTCGCCTTCCCTGCTCGTGAACTCCATGGGACTGGTCCATGACCAGCCAGCTCTTGGTAAACTTACATAGACGGCACCGAGGGGACCTCTGACATTACCCCAACCTGAAGGTGGCTTTTCCATGATGGTTGCTGCAAATTGCTTAAGTTCGGGAAGGCTGAACTCGGATTTCCTTGGCGCTTGGGCCGCCCTGCAAACAATCATACTCCAGTAGACGCACGGTCTAGCGGCTGGTATCCAAGCGGGGTCTTCCAGCACAGCTAGCGACAGGGCACGCGGCCGAGCGGCGCATTTGGGCCCCGCGACTTTCAGGAACAGATTTTGCGCACCCTGGAGTTCCTGAACCGTGAGTCCCAGCGCAACCGTCCCGAAATAGCCTGCCTGCTGCGGACCAGTGTTCCAAATCTTCTTAGTGTCTGCTCCTGCAGCGCGAAGGGCTCGTCATCTGCGGAGTCGGTTCTTCAACTTCCCAGTCTCGGCCTTAAGTGTTTTCCTTCCCTTAATCCTTAGCCGGCCTCCTGCAGTGAAATCGACCCCGAAATTTGTGGCCGCAGGCTCAGTCAGAGCGGCCTCCGGGCCAGCCCATTGACCGAGCTCGGCCGCAAAATCGGCCTGGATCATCGACGTGGAAGCCACATCAGCAGCCTCATGCTTGGCGATGTCGCATTTCAGATCGAGGACGATCGACTGCTGCGTTTTAGCTGGGGCCGTGGCTAGGTCAGCTATCAATGCGTTTGGGCTTGCTGTTGTGGCTGGCCAACAAGAAATCATCAATGAAAATCGTGGGCTGCGCGCGCGCGGGGTCTGGGCCGCCCAGATGTCTATGGGCGGCAAGCAATGCAGCTGAACGGTTTAAGTGGCGGCCCAGCAGCCTGCCGCGATGCCTCTGTCAGGGCGCCCAGCAGGTAATGCAGAAACACGAGTAGCAACTGTCCTGGGCGCCTGGTACTGGTTGCAAATGGCTACTACTAGCGAGTCCGAGAAATAAGTCTCCTGGACCCTATACCTCAAGGGCCCCCTGTCCACGTGCTCGTAATAATTTGATAAATCCCACAAAACAGAAGCAGAGACAACTTTCTTCTTTCCCAAGGAATGCCCTTCTGCTTTCACAGCTTGCTCGCAAACTACTTCCAAAACTCCTTTTACCTGCTTGGTGAGCTAGGTACCTACGATGATGAGCCCGTTCCCAAGCTCGAAACTCAACTTGCCGATGTTTGCCCCAGGCTCTCCAGAGCCCTGGCATCATACCTGTGCCCTGTCGCTGGGACCTGGGTGTGGGCCTGGCTTGTGCTTTTCGATGAGGACGGTGACGATGGCCCTGATCTGCGTCGGGAAAGCACCAACACTTTCAATGGCTCGGAGGAGCCTGCTCGGCCTCCAGCATGCATCGGGCGACCTGACCAGCGGGACTTGGCTGGGCACCGCGCCCTGGGTGGTTGTCATGCCATGAGCTCGCTGCTCCACTGATGGGACCAACCTACTCCGGTTCCCCATGGTTTCTTCTGGCCCAGAGCTTCCAGGATTGACGATCGTCAGCTCGGCCCCTGGCGATGTCTCGGTCCAGAGCTTTTTCAACCTCGGAGACCATGTCAGCAAAAACTGTGGCGATGAGCTCGAAATCTGGCTCGCTGGTGTTTGCGTCCAAGAGTGTGGCCTGCATGCGCGCGCGTGTGCACTTGTTCGCAAAGCTCCAGCAGGCCCAGCTCGATCTAGCGCAGAAGCTAGATCGAGCTGGGGCTGCTGGAGCCCCTCAAGATCCGACTCCTCCCCCCCCCCCCTCTCCTCCTGATGTTGATGGCCTTATTGCGTGGCCATCTGAAGGCTGCTGCTGCATTTCTCCAACTCCTCCTGTCCTTGGCCTCGACAGCCTTGGTGGGGGCCCAGCGAGTAGTTGGCACCTGCGTACGGCGCCGCTTGCTTCCCAAAGGCGCGCCTGTAATTATGCTGAGCGCTGTGGACATGTCGTCCACCAAGCCGTCGTAAGAAGCATTCGCAGCTGCAGCTGGTGCGCCCAAAGAGACAGGCTGCACGGGTACTGGCGGTCCTGAATCCACAAAGACTGTTTATCGGTCTCGGTCTTCTAAACTAGCCTCCAGAGAGTCCAGAGCTCCAAGACATCTGGGCCAGGGCGGGGAGATAGTTCGAGGTCCCACAGGGGCAGCCGCTGGGATGTGTTGAGGCTGTTCCAGAACGGGCATGAGATGCGGGGCCCCGCCCACCAGATCCATCACGGCTGGCCTGCGTGGACTATTCGGGTAGTCAACCAAG